CACACGATCCAAAAAAACAGGGGTTACACAGGTTCGACAGCATTCAGCCGCCCAGACTCATAGGGTTTTCACTCGGCACATGACCAAGGAGGGTAAAGAAGAGAAAAACAGGGAGAACTATACCAGTTGTAGCTATTTTTTTTTTTTAGTCCAGAATCAGATTTCTGTTCCGCCCAGGTTCTGCTAGTCTGTTCGATCTGTTCTCTGGGTTGATCAATCTGCTCTCTTTAATCAGTATTCCCGCTCTGATACCATCTTGAMAGTRTGGCCGGYYAGAAATAAGAGGAAGAGAAGAGAAGAGAAGAGGAGAAGAAGAGAAGAGAAGAGAGGAGGGAAGAAAGAAGGGTTTTGCAATGTAACAGTGCTGGCGGCGCCAGCCTTTATTTTAATATATATAGGGCGGCAGAAATAACAAGGGAAAAGACCCTTGTGCCCTTGAGTACAATAACAGACATAACAGAAAGAAAAAACAAAATAAAAAAACACTTTAATTATCCAAACAGGCCCTAACAACTGCAACTAAGTTATTTTAACATTATTCTAACATAAACCAATCCCAGAAGGGAATATTTTCTTACTTCTAACATATCTTCGTACCATAGTTCTTGGGTACATTCTCTCTCATTTTTAGAGAAGTTTTCAAAGAACCATTTTTTCTTTATTGGTTGTGAATTAAAGTCTAACCTTATGTCTTTATCTATTTGGAATTCTTCTTCAATTTCCAAGATATTTATCTCAAAATCTGCTTCAGCCGGTTCGTAAGATTTCACTGAGGGGTTACCCCTCTGGGCTGCGTGATAGTCTAAAGGTGGCGTATCTATTATAGGAGTTTCATAGGTAGCATATATAATGTCAGGAGGAGGACGAGGTGGTTCTGATGAATCAATCTATCGATCATCTTGAATGAGAAGATCTTACTTCTAATGATTCAGCATACGAGGGCCTCGAAGAAGTAGAGGCTCTTCTGAACCGCAACTCAACAGATCCATCCTGTTCGCTGAATACCGATGCTAACTCAGTGGACTCCACCGTATGTCCCTCACGATGGCAATGTGAACAAAAACGAATCCCATACAAGTGTCTGCAATAACCAATTGTATGTCCTTTCAACCCATGTGCACCTCTACTACTACTACTACTACTACCACCACCACCACCACCACCACCACCACCACCACCACCACCACCACTACCACTACCATTACCACTACCACTACTACTACTACTACTACTATTACCACCTCTTACCACTTGGACACCCTGGAGGTCCACGACCACCATTCCCGCAGCCTCCTCCATAAGTACCTTGACCTCGTCCACCACTCCCAGATACAACGAGTGCTGCTCGATCAGATGGAGAGGTGGATTCAGATAGTTTGGCTCTCTACTGTTTAGAAAATACATCCTCTAAATCAGGTAGCTCCAGGCTGCCCAAAATCTGAGCTCTCACTGATTCATACTCAGGTTTGATTCCTGAGAGAAACTTTGCTACATATAGTTCTTTTCTCTGCTTCTCCATCACTGTAATATCATTGGTGCAGGTTGGTATATATTCAGCTCCTAACATAAACTCATCATATCAGAATAATACTCCTCAAGAGACTTATTCCCCTGTTGTAAGCTAAAAAATGACTGAAACAACTGATATATTTGGGTGATATTATTGCTTCCTGAATACATCCTCTTCACTTGTTCCCAAAACTGTTTTGAAGTATCAAGAAAAATAAGGGTGCAGCTGATTTTTGTTTCCATGGAGTTCCACAGCAAAGTTTTGATTTGAGAATCCTCCTGTAACCACTCAGAATATTTAGGATTATCAGTAATATATTTCAATTTCTCAACTGCCGTGAGTGACACTTCTATAGATTTTGCCCAAACAGCATAGTTTGTACTTCCACTTAACTTGATAGTAGTTAACATAAAGGCTGTGGGGGAATAACACTTGATTTCATCTCCATCCTAACTTAGATTTCTAAGAAACAAGAAGATTACCACTATATTCTACCAACTTGAACACCTTCACAGCTCACAAAATCACTCATCATACCACTATTAAACTCTTCACAGCATCAATCACTAACCCAGAAATATTTCTGTCACAACATTCCCTCTTGGATTCGATCCACTAGAGGGATACACACCTCATTGTTCACCTGTCATAGTAGTTGTGAAAGTTAAAGACCATTACTAATCACCAAGAAAACAGACTAAAAAACTGGTCCGATCCCCTGTAGCAGTGAATATCAACCTTCCAAAAGAAACCCTAGATAGATTGACTGTGAGAGGAAACCCTACTAGACCTTCACATTTCCTGCTCTGATACCATGTGAAAAAGAAGAGACGAGAAGAGAAGAATGTGAAAAGAAGAGAAGAGGAGAAGAGAAGAAGAGAAGAAAAGATGTGAGAGAGGCAAAAAGATATGCTGGCGGTGCCAGCCATTCTATTATATACTAGGGCGATCAAAAACAAAAGAGAAAAATTACAACAGTGTCCTAGTAATTGACTACTAGGAATAGTATACTGATAGTAGTCGACTACTAAGAACAGTATATTGATAGTAGTTGACTGTTAACTACTAAGACATCTCTGTGTGAAGTAGTCGGCTACTAGCAACAAAGTATTGCTTTCGGGTACAAATTTAACATATTACATTACATCAACACTTAATATAACACTCTTTCAACAGGTTCTAGCCGCTCCATTTAAAAGGCAATTAAAATTATAAAATCATTATTTTTTTGTGTGATAATTAAGAATTTTAGACCCTAACATGGACTTGTTTGGTCGGGCACCTAGGCGTGCCTCAGGTGCGCCTTTTAAATCACTGCTTTGGGTCGCTGTTATCACCAGAAAGTATGGGTTGAACACAAATGGTTGGGATATCAATCTTCATTTGAACCAGATTAATTCCTCCAATCTTAGGAAAGGTATTGTCTCCACTTATAGAAGCTTTATTCCCTTCATAAGATTTAAAGTGGGAAATGGCAACAGAATAAAGTTTTGGACCAACCTGTGGTGGGGCATTTCTACTCTGGCAGCCTCCTACGCTAGACTGTTCAACCTTACCCTAAATAAAGAAGCAACCATTTCCTAGTGCCTCCCCTCTTCTTTCACTGAGAGCAACTTAAACTTAAGCCTTAGAAGACCCTTAAGGGACTTGGAGATCAGTGAGTTAGCTGAGTTTCTCCAAACTCTTAAAGAGGTCTATCTGTCCCCCCTTTTCCCTGACACTTGTGTATGGAAACCTCACCCAATTGGAGAGTTTGCTTGTAAGTCTTTCTTCAAGGCTTTGGTTGCACGAGAACAGGACTATTTTTCCTGTTCAAGGTCTGGTGAGGCCACTCCCCCTCAAGAGTTTGTTTCTTCGCTTGGGAAGCCTGTTTGCAATGAATAAACACCTGTGATCTGCTTGAAAAGGAGCTTTGGTAGATATATATTTCTCCCAATGTTCGCACCCTATCCTTATTCATGAAGAGGAATCAACTGATCACTTAGTGATCCACTGCCAGGAAACTAGAAATGTTTGGAACCACTTTCTTCAGCTAGTTGGTTACAGCTGGTTGCTCTCGATCATCTATTGGACTTTCTCCAACAGTGGCAAGGCAAAGGCCTTGATAGGAGAGGATGGTTTACTGGAATAGTGCTGCATTCTGTGCTTTGGGGTGTTTGGGAGGAAAGGAATAATAGTTTGTTTGATAACAAGGCCAAATCCCAGGAAGAGGTGATTTCTCACATCACTTACAACTGTAATTTGTGGGTTTCCAGTTCGGGTCTGTTCAAAGGCATCTTGTAAGTGACCTTAGTAAGAATGCTTACAACTTCCTGTTCTCTTCCCCAACTCCCCCACCCACCTCCCAAGGCCTGAATCTCAGATGGGAAGAAGGAATGACTCTAAGCTTTGATGGAAGTGCTTTAGATAATCCTGATATAGCTGGTATTGGAGGAGCCTTAAGAGATGAAAGGGGAAATATCTGCTGGGTTTATAGTGGGCCGATTGGAATAGCTTATTTTACCAAGGTGGGAGTGATGGGTGCCCTCATAGGGATTCAATTAGTTAACAGATTGGGCATTCAGAATCTAACTGTTGAAGGCAACTCTGCAAACACTATAAAATGATTAGGGGAGCAGGAGGCTGGGCCGTGTATACTTGGTCATTTTCTGGCAGAGGCAAAGGACTTATTGGAATTTATGAGTGTAAACTTAAACTGGATCCCAAGGGACCTAAGCTCTGTTGCAGATGGCTTAGCAAAGATTGGTGCCCACTTAGATGTATTGTATTGTGATAGGATTCCTCCTGTGTAATCTCTAGGGGTTTCCCCCCAGTTTGTTTTGTACACTTCCTTGTGTACCTCCATTTTTATTTAATGAATTTCAGGGCCCATTTGGTTTGCGGGAATAGGGGTCTGGAATTGGAATCGGAATGGCCATTCCCATTCCAACTTTTTTGGTTGGGTTGAATTCAAAACGCCATTCTCATTCCTGGTGGAATGGCCATTCCCTCCCCCTCCCTTCAGAATGAAATCCCATTCCATCTGATTCCAATTCCCATTCCAATTCCTGTCTGAACCAAACAGACTATGAGAATAAACTATTCCAATTCCTATTCTGACAAATTTTTATTCTGATTCCGGTTCCAATTTTGACTGTGAACTAAACATACCCTCAGTTAACTTTTCTCAAAAAATATTCCTCGAGAATTTGAATATCTTGTTACTTGCTGTTTAGTCAGCAACCATCCTCTCTCTCTCTCTCTCTTTCACACACACACACACACTTAGACATTTCTGTAGAATTGCCTATTGATGCTGTATTCTTGTCATCTTTTTCTGCTTACAGTATATTATTATATAGAGTGATTTTGTATTGGTCACATGGACAGCAAAAGTGCCACGGTATGATTAAAGTCAAGTTACATCCATGTCATTAAGGCAGTATGCTTCTTTAACATCATTTACATCTTGGTCTATATTAGTGTTTTCATCTTTAGTAGTTGTTTGCAGGAAACATATTTGAGGCGCATGACAACCTGTTTGGCAGCAGGTATTTTCTATTCAGAGTAATAATAATTAGGTATTCATGAGGTTCACATGTTGATATTGTAGAATATGTACAGATGGAATTGTAATTAACATGGTTGTTGGGGGTGAAGTGGTGACCTTGAAAAGCATTGAGGAAAGCAGTGGGATTGTCATAGCTGAGATGCCCATTCATGTAAGTTTAGTGTTTTATTTGTGCTAACTAGTCTTGATGTCAATCAACATGACACATGGTTGTTATTGCAGATTTCTGAGATATTGTGAGGATTTCTCCCCAAAAACAGGCAAAGAAGCCATTTTACATGGATATGTTTCTAATAAGGCCATTTTGGGAGTTAACCTGATTTGAAGTCTGATTATCTGATCTTGTGGTGCTTTTATCACTGGGCGCTGAGACACGAGCATGTTCTCTTTCCAATGACAAAACTGTCCTGGTTAAATTAAATGCTCTACCAGTTTAGGTGCTACTCTTCTGAACTTTTACTTTTTCTATAGTTGTGCATAATGTTATACAGATAATCTTTAGTTGTATGATTGCATTATTCTTTTGTCTAACTTTTTTTTTGGTTATTGTGCTAAACTACTACTACCACTGCATAATGACAACACCTTGGTGGCATCCTTTAGTCTACATTAACTATTTTTGTAATAAATTTGTATGTTTGAATTAAATCAAGGATAAACGGTCCTTTCCGTTGTTCTAATTTATAATCATTTATCCATTAATGATTCTAACAATATATTTAACTCCACATTTTGGCTAATAGTTGGATAAAGCAAAATGCAATTAATGCCATTGACTACTTCATAATTTAAAGCTTCCTTCCATGGTCTATGTACATGATGAAGCTTTTTGGTTAAATATTTTCACTTATTTGGCCAGGTATTTTGACTATTATCTGCTGATACCAATATTGTTGTGGAATCTGGCCAGATGTCAGACAATTTGAATGTATGATTATAAATGGATTTAGATAAGCAGGAAGTTCCCAAATCGTGGTAGGATGCATGAAGACAGAGATACATCTAGTGGATTGTGGATAGGGGTGTCAATGGGTCGAATTTGGGTTGGACCCCATTTGGATCGAATATGATTTGAACGGACTGAACGGTCCAAGAGATTGCATTGAATCAAACCCATCCAAACATAATGGACCAATAGTCCAATACAAGTTACAGACTGGAATTGGACAAGTCCGATTTGTCCAAAGTCCAGCCATCCAGTCCAGGTCTGTGACTCTCTTGTCATTCAAACTTCATACTTCGAAGTTCCAAGTTCTCTCCACACTCAGCGCTCCAACTCTCTCTCTCTCTCTCTCTCTCTCTCTCAGGGTCTCTCTTTTCAGCATAACTCATTCTCAGTCTCTCCGACCAACTTGCGGCACTATCCTTCTCTCTCTCTCTCTCTCTCTCTTCGGAAGCACTCTCCTTTTCTCTTTCCAGCGGCTCTCTCCCTCCCTCCTCTGAGTCCTCTTTCTCTCTCTCTCCAGTGGCATTCTTTCAGGTGACTCTCTCTTTTGACCGGATGTCTCTCTCTCTTTCTATTAATCTATATCTTCCTCTATTTTAGTAATTTTAGGGTTTCTACCGATCCATGCTTTTGTTTTCTGGTTATAGTTGAAAGCATTGACTGAAACAAGGAGGCAGGCTCTTCCTTCGCTCATTCAGGTGAACAACCAAAATGATCCCAACTCTATTATAATTGAGACTCAATATACGAACCCAGAAATTGTACAATAGGGTCAGATTCGTTTATTACTAGTAATATGATATATTCATAAACTTTGATTGTACTAGTACTCTGATTATTCTAGCAGTTGAGGATTTAACCGTATCTAATTGTTCTTTTTTCAATTGTTTTAAATTTGTTTTTTTTTTTATAGATTTTGTAGCTTATCTGCTTAAGTTTATATTTCTTGTTAGGACATTAATTTTTTAATTAATTAATTAATCTGAATCCAATCCAATCAGATTCGGATTCAAATAGGGGTATATCCGAATCCGATCTAATAATACAAATCATAGATCTGACCCGAAGACCCGACTGGATCTCACAAATGTCTATTCGAATCCGAATTTGTTAAGGATGTCAGATATATCTGAATCAGATATGGTTCGATTTAATTTATGAGAAATTTAATAAATTATTAAAAGAAAAAAACATAACAGTTTATATAAAGAAAAACAAAAAATACAAGTATTTTTTTTAACTATTTCCATCATATATATGCATGTATTTTTATAAAAAAATAAACACTAAAAATTACAAAAATGCAATATAAACATGCATATGCAATAGAAACAAAAAATACATGTATGCAATATAAATATACATATATATGCATGCATGATTGGATCAGATTCTTTCGGGTCGGATGGGGGATCCGAATTATTTGACTTGATCTATTCTGAAAATCCAACATGGGATATCCAAATTCGACAAAATAGGATCGGATTAGATCATGATCTGATCCATTTCACCCCTATATATGAGCTTATGTTTTGATCTGAGTTTTCCATTTTCAAATGTTGCTAGAACTGAATCCATGATCCTATAAATGCTTGGTGGTAACTATTAAAATCTCATAATCAATTTATGAATTTGGAAGCTAACTGTTAAAGATAGTTAAAAGGGGATAAAATGTCATCTCTACTTCTTTTAGATAGGTTAAAATGTCATCTTTCATTTCAGTTCATCTGTAATGGACTCATCTGGTCCATATTTGCTTATTCTGTTTAATCTCATTAGATTTTCTTCTATTTCATGTTAGTGTGAATGATACAGGTTATGCTAGTAACAATTAATGAGTTGTTAAAACACAACTTTCCTATTAAGGTTTTTCATTGGACAAGTTATGCTAATTGATGATGCGCAATTCGACCGGTCTTAGTTGTCAGCGATCTTGCCTCTGAACCGAGTAACAGAGAACCTGGAACGGAGGAGATGAGGAAGCTCCGGGGAGGACCCGGTGTAAAGGCTTCGAAACTTAAGTTAGAATCCTTCAAAGGCAAGATAAACCAGATAGCGCAAAGTTTGCATACCTCCTCTTTGGGGGTGGAGAGCCTTTTATAACCACCTCGCGCACTCACTCCTAGACTCCTGTCAGGTCGGGAATGAGTATTTCCGTGCTTCTGCCAGTTCGGACGTCATCGCCTCTGCTGGGGTAGAATCGTCACTGCTCCTTTTGTTAGAGCCATCTCTGTAACTGGAGGCAGTGGTGACAGGTGACGGTGGCAGGTGGCCGTTGGAAATGCGGCCGTTAAGCGTTAGATCCCAAGTCAGTCAGGTGTGGCGCCCCTGGATACGGTCCTTCGGTGTCAGGTACGGCGTTGTTCGTCCAGTTCAATGCTCCGGAAGCGAAGTGCTTGGAGCGGTGCGTGAGGCAAAGTCTCGAGTTCGGATAAGGGGAGGCACCTAATTGTCATAAGACGGGCCAGTTCGGGTCTCTGCTTTGTGTGACTCGGGGTCAAAAGGGGGAGTTCGGGCTCCTCGCAGGGAGTCCGATCACTAAGTAGGGAGTTCGGGCACCTTGCAGAGAGTTCGACCACTAAGTAGGGAGCTCGGGCATTAAGTAGGGAGCTCGGGCACCTTGCAGAGAGTTCGACCACTAAGTAGGGAGCTCGGGCACTAAGTAGGGAGCTTGGGCCTCTTGCTAGGGAGTTCGAACTCTAAGTAGGGAGCTCGGGCACTAAGTAGGGAGTTCGGGCCACTTGCTAGGGAGTTCGAGCTCTAAGTAGGGAGTTCGGGCCTGCTGGTCCCTTCCCTTTGGTGTTTGTACCCTCGGTATGCTGTCTTGAGTGCCAAGCTACTTGCCTTTTTTTCCACGTGCCGTGATTTGCGAGGTCGGGCCAAATCTTCCTTCATCAATTGCCCCCCACTCCTCGTGCTAAGGTCTTGCCCTGGCGCGGGGAGTTCGTAAGGTGTCAAGTAGATTTGTCCTACACTTTGAATCTTGGTTCTGCTGGCGCGAGGTGCGTTGTCAGGGTTTCTTGGGTTTCTTCGAGTATCCATTTATGTGGGAAGCGTGTTGGCCTGTCTAAATGCTGATAGATGTGGCGGTGCGCGCGCGTTGCTTCGAAATTTCAAAAAAAGAAAAGGGGCGCGCCACTTGGGGGCGCGAAAGCGGGCGTTTTTTCAAATTTGAAAAAGACGTGCCGCTGCCATTTTTTCTGAGACATGCGCTGACGTTCCATCAGTTTCGAAAAGATGCGCGCCGTCGCTGTCAGTTTCAGAAAGACGTGCGCCAATCACGTCTCGGTCTCGGGCGACGTGCGGTCAGGGCGGCCGTAAACTGTCGGATTGGCTTTGATATGAGCCGTTGCCTTTTGGTCACTATGAGCATAAATATCGGGGGGGGGGACCCCGGTTTGTTGTCGCTTTTGTATTTCTCTCGAGCTCGCGTCTGA